GTCCCAGGTGCATCGACACAGGGCCGCGGCGAGAGAGCGGGGCGAGCGGCCCGTTCGGGAGGAGATCGAACGGGTCCGCACCCAGGCGCAGAGGGAGGCTCTGCGCCGATGGGGCGAGGCACTCGCCAACCCAGCCGTTGGCCACCGGACGATCGAGGCGATCCGTCCGGTGTTGGAGGAGTGGGTAGGGCGCCAGCGGGGCAGCCTCACCTACCGCCTGGTGCAGGTACTGACCGGACACGGGTGTTTCGGCCACTACCTGCACCGTGTCGCCCGTCGGGAGGAGTTGCCGCGGTGTCATCACTGCGCCTCCCCCGACGACACGGCCGAGCACACGCTGATCGTGTGCCCGGCTTGGCGAAACGAGCGCCGCACGTTGGTGGCGGCGCTCGGCGGAGGACCGCTCTCATTGCCAAGTATGGTTCGAGCCATGCTTGGCAATGAGAGGGCATGGAAGGCTGCCGCCTCCTTCTGCGAAATTGTGATGGTGCAGAAGGAGGCAGCGGAGAGGGAGCGGGAGGAGGATGCTCTAGCCGCTCCCCTCCGACGTAGACGGGTGGGCCTTAGAAGGCTGGCAGCTGTAACTGCCGGTCTTCGTCGGCCCTAAGGTGGTCTGGGCGCGGCTTGGCCGCCGCGTGCCCTTGGTGCCATTCGGCATAGGCCACCCCGTCTGGGGATTGCCTAGTACCCTAGCGCAATCCCCCAGAGGCGTGTCGCCCGGTCCACTCGTTGGGCCGGGCCAGCCCGGGGGCGTCCCAGTGAAGTGGCGCACACTAAGGTGCGCTGATCCTGAGACGCCCCCATATGGGCGTAGGAGGGTACCGGTGGTTTTTAGTGGGTAGGACCGGCGTTGTTCCGCGCCGGGGAGTCCCACACACGCCGCGCGCCCAGCCAGCGCGCGGTACGGTGCGTAAATGCATTTTCCATCGTCAACAAAATGGTAATAGTAAGCCATAGTGAAAATAAGGTACGTGTCTGTTTAGATCCTCAAAATTTGAACAAAGTTATAATTAGGGAACGATATTTGATGCCTACTTTTGAAGAATTAGTTTCTAAAATGCCAAATGCTAAATTCTTTTCTGTTCTGGATGCTCATAAAGGATTTTATCATATCAGTTTAGCACCAGAGAGCCAACTGCTAACAACATTTAATGCAGGGCATTTAGGACGTTATTGCTACTTAAGATTACCATTTGGTTTAAGTTCGGCACCAGAAGTGTTCAGTAAATGCTTTTCAGACATATTTAAAGATGTAGAACGTGTGCAACTGTATGTCGATGAACTAATTATTTGGGGGGAAAGTATGGAACAACACAATAGTAGACTTGAGAGAGTGCTGACGAAAGCACAAGAAGCAGGTGTGAAATTTAATAAAGAAAAATGCCAATTTGCAGTGCAGCAAGTAAAATATGTGGGCCATATTTTAACAAGTGATGGTTTAAAACCAGACCCAGAAAAAATTCGAGCTATTTTAGATATGGGAGAGCCAAAAGATAAAAAACAATTACAGAATATATTGGGTATGATCACATATATTACAAAATTTATACCAAATGCTTCGGATATTACTCATTCGTTTCGTGATTTACTTAAAAAAGACTCGGTTTTTATATGGGGTGATAAACAAAAACAAGATTACCAGAAACTTAAAAAATTTCTTACTTCAGAAACAGTTTTAAAGTATTATAATCCAAAATTACCAATAACATTGTCAGTAGATAGCAGTAGTACAGGTTTAGGAGCAGTATTGTTGCAAAACAATATGCCTGTAGCGTATGCATCAAAAGCATTGACTGAAACACAAACTAAATGGGCACAAATTGAGAAGGAAATGTTAGCTATAGTTTATGCCTGTGAAAAATTCCATCAGTATGTTTATGGTAAAAGCATAATAGTTGAGTCGGATCAGAAACCATTGGAACATATTTTTCAGAAAAATATGAATGAAACTCCTTTTAGATTACAAAGATTAAGACTTAGGTTACAACCTTATAACTTAGAAATAAAATATAAACCAGGCAAAGAATTGTTAGTTGCCGATGCTTTATCAAGAACCTATGTAAATGATAATATATGTAATAGTGATATTGATAAACAAGTAGATCTACATGTGTGTATGATTATAAACAGTATGAATATTAGCAAAGAAATGTTTGTACAATTCAAAAAAGAAATGGAAAATGACGATCAGCTTAAATTATTAATGCAATTTTTAAAAGAAGGATGGCCTAACTGTTCGGAAATACCATTCGATCTAAAATTTTACTATTCTATTAAAGACGAATTGTATGTTACTGACAACTTGATATTTAAAAATACAGCCCTACTAGTTCCAAAGAGTTTAAGAAGACAAATGTTAAGATTAATTCACTATAATCATTTAGGATATGAAAAATGTAAAACAAGAGTTAAGAATATTTTGTACTGGCCGTTTATTTACAAAGAATTAAAAGATGAAATATCAAATTGTGAAACATGTTTGCGTTTTCAAAAAACACATATGCATGAACCTTTGATGCTAAGAGAGTTTCCAGAAAGACCATGGCAAATAATTGCTGCAGACATGTTCTTTTTGCAAAATAAAACATATTTGTTAATTGTTGACTACTTTACTAAATATGTAGAAGTTATTGAACTCAAAGATCAATGTGCCGAAAGTCATGTAAAAGCTCTGAAAACAGTGTTTTCACGGTGGGGTATTCCGGAAAAGCTATGTACGGATGAAGGATCACAGTACAATAGTTTGATTTTTAAAGAATTTGTTAAAAGTTGGAACTTTCTACATATTACATCAAGTCCATATTATCCGAGATCAAATGGAATGGCGGAAAGATATGTTCAAACGGTGAAAAATATATTTAAAAAATGTTTGTATGACAATAAAGATCCTTTCCTAGCCTTGATGGAATACCGAAACACACCAATAGATTATAAGACTCCATCACCAAATCAATTGTTATTAGGAAGACAGGTAAATTCATGTCTGCCTACAAATGAGGTTAAAAACAAACAAAATAATGAAAGCATAAGAGAACATTTATTAGACAAGAGAAATAAGTATAAATTGTATCATGACAAAAAGAACAGAGGAAAGGCAGAAGAATACAAAGTAAATCAGAATGTATTTGTCAGAGAAAGTAAAAATGATAATGTTAAAGGTCAGATCATAGGAACAGATGTTAATCCAAGAACTTATAAAGTGAAATTAGAAAATGGGGAAACTATCAAAAGAAATAGGTATAATATTTATAAGGGGTCTCAGAACACTAACTTTGTAGTTAAGGATAAAAATAAAAGTTATGATTCACAGATTAAAAATAAAAATAATGCTAAACTAAATAGTACCAATCAGATAGTAGAAAATAATTTTGAAAGTTTAAATGAAAGTGTTCAAAGTAATAGTAATGACAATAATTTACAAACAGAGCAGACAACAACAAGATCAGGTAGAATTGTTAAACAACCTACATATTTATATGATTATGAAACTTAATAAATAAGTACTAGATGATAAATATAAATTTAAACTTAAGGCAATGTTATGTTACTAGTAAAATAATTGTGTAAGTAAGTAAACTTAAAGTTTAACGAAATATTTATAAACTTACAATAATAATAAAAGTTAAGTAAATATAAGAAGGGAGATGTCAGATAAGTTACATCACTAACGCTTTTAACTAATACATCACTAAGGTATGATATTCATTATATAAAATAAAGATGGCGCAGAGTGCTAGACTTTCTTAGTGTTTTATTTAATCAACCGACATTACAAGTAGGTACTCATAGATAGTAGTAAAAGTTTAAAAATACAATTTTTAAGGTTATGAATGTACCTACTAAGTCAAAGAGTTTTGTCGTTTCTGCTTTCACAAATCCTGCGTTCAGCATTAATTTAGTCAAGAAAACCAATAACGGGAACCTTTTCTACAAGATACAAGAGTGTTTAGATACATCTTTATAAGAAATAAACATTTGTATAGTTTTTAAGTAAAGTAACGGAAACTAATCTTCTTTATTCTAGTGCATTAAGTTATTTTACAAATTTGAAAAAAATTAAGAAAATACGTAGATTCTGGGACTGAAGTTAGTAGGTTTCCAGAAAAGGCCTAAAATACGTAGATCTACGTAAAAAGACGTAGAGTTGGCAACACTGGGGCGGGAAGCCGTGACAGATTAGGTTGCGTCATCGAGTTTCTTTTTTTTTTTAGATAAACTATGGCGCCAAGGCTGGTGTTGCTATTTGAAAATTATATATTCTTTTTTTTTGTTACTTTGTTTTCTCAACTATAGTGCTGAAGTGGTGTCACTTACGCGTTACTACATTGTGTTATATATAAATTGAATGTTACTAATCTTGAGGACGAAGCACGAGTATAATTGAAACAATATGACCATTTATGCTTTCCCGTCAACTATTGTATTCTCAAAATATTATGCGCTAGGATTTTTTATTTGGTTTGCAAAACCGAAATCTGAAAATGACAAAATAATTACATACAATTGTTTTCATACAAGTTGAAGCGTCATCTACTTCAATATAAGTCTGTGCGATTAACGATAAAACAAACATTGTTTTGATTTCAGAGCTAAGTAGGTAGGCGGGTAGATAAATAGTAACGAAATAAAAAACGTATATATCCCAGACATCCCAGCAAAACTTTTAGGAGAGGTAAGCCTAAGGCAGATTTTGAGCTCAATTGCAACGCGAATGCATCTCTGTGGCTTTTACCAGCAATTAGATTAGTGATTAGATTTAAGTTCGGTGACTAAGCAAGAAGCGCAAGTTGTTTGTAGACAAAATTAGGGAAAAATGTAATCTTGCAGTAATTTTAATCTGCCTTTAATTTTGTTAAGGTCACATTGAGTGTCGGTTGAGTTGGCTAATCAAAAATCATACTTTGTCTTATTTTGAGTTAGGAGCTGTTGTATTTTTAGTTAATTTCTACTTGTGTTGTGCTGATACATTGAAGATATTTATTTGTTATGTAGGTACTAACGTTCAGTTCGTAGAGTGGTCGCGAGCGGTCGCACGCTGCGAACCTGGTTCTGTTCACCAACACCCTGTCATCATACAACCGCTCATATTTCTCGCGCTCGAAGTCGCGACGGACGCGGTTACGACGCTTGTCTTTCTCCTTTTGTGTGTCGCCATACACCAGAGTACCTGAAAAGCGATTTATTTACTAATTTAGTATACACACAATTAAACAGGTAAGAAGAACAGGAACAAGAAATTTGTACAAGGACACTGCTTATTTCATATTGAAATTTCTTCCAGCAGGCCAGCGAAAAGAACGAACTTAAAAAGGTCGTCAGTGTGTGCCTCCTGAATATAAATAACAACATACAAGTTAAATCCTACTAATCCATATCCATCTCCATCCATCCATCCTGTTGGAAATATTTATTATTTATTATAATAGGGAGATTGGGCCGGGAACCGCCATGCGGGTCCCAGTGCGGATTGGTGATTGTTAACGACTGCAGATTCAGCCGGGGCGAACGAATTAACGTGGCTTCCGAAGTACGGTGAAACTCGAGATAATAAGTTTTGGTCTCCTATCCAATGACCGACAATTGCGAAAGTTGTTTAGTTTCCACGATCGCAAGGCGAACGCGCTAACCTCCTGCGACATCGAAGTAATTAATACTTACTAATATTATAAATGCGAGTGTGTCTGTTTGTCTGTTACCTTTTTACGCTTAAAGCACAGCTTAAATGAAATTTGGTATAGACATAGTTTTACCGGGGAAGGAGAGACGAGAAGGGATGGACAGTTTTGTTTGGTTCTGAATTATATTTTTTCTTATATTATTATTCTGTATCTTATGAATTTCATTAGGTTTTTTTTAAACTTACCTTTACTTAATATTGCAAGGAGCGTTACTAACTCTTGAGTTAGTTTAATTATTAGGTACACAGAGCGCCACAGCGATTTTAGCAACGATGGCAGTACCTGAAATATATTGTTCTTTAGTTGTCAGAAATCATTTTCTTTATTATAATTTTTATTTTTTAAGCATGTAACTGCTTGATGTTTAAATCTAAAGAAAATATAAATAGAAATAATTCCACGCGGACCAGGCAGCAGACTGGTCTGCTGTTTTTTTGATGTTGAAACCTGCGATTAGTCGATAGAATCAGTACCAAGCCAACATAATGTCGCTGACATATAGCCTACCTATCTAATTTTTGTGGAGGTGGTATCAAATTTTTCTTTGAACGCATAATTTGTGAAATCAATGGAGAAATTATTCCTTCTTTATAAATTCTCCTGTATAAGAACTCGACTTTTCAAGTTTTCATTCATCCGGTGAGTTGCAAGAGGTAGTGGATTTAGCAAGGTGGAGCTACTGCTCCATCTCCCCTTAGAAAGATATCTGCTCTCTTAAGTCTTCTAGTCGGATTTGACTGCAAGAGCATATCCGACAGTGGGTTTGAGTGACTTGTCAAGCGGTTGTTATAGCTGAGTATCGATTTACTTCGTCTAATATGGTTGTGATTTCCAGGTACTCAAGGATTTCCGAGTGGTGAGTGTAGCGAGAAAACAATAAGAAATAATATAACTCACCATGAAGGAGGCGGACGTGTCATCCACGTAGGGGAAGCAGACGGCCTGTTACTCGTGAAGCCAGTTGAGCGAGTACACCCGTGCGCCGAACAGCATGGCCATGGCGGCGGTATCAACACTCTATCCACTCCAATAATGATCACTGACCATAGAGGCGGCGGACGTGTCCACGAAGGGAAAGTAGACGGCCTGGTAGTCGTTCAGCCAGTTGAGCGAGTACACCCGTGCGCTGAGCAGCGCGGCCATGGCGGCGGTACCAAAACTGTACACTCTCTAACAATGATCACTGACCAAAGAGGCGGCGGAGCTGTCGTCCACGGCCAAGTGAAGCACACGGCCTGGTAGTCGTGTAGACAGTTGAGCGAGTGCACCCGTGTACCGATCAGAATACTGTACACACTCCAATAATGCTCACTGACCATAGAGGCGGTGGACGTGTCCACGTAGGGAAAGCAGACGGCCTGGTAGTCGTGCAGCCACTTGAGCGAGTATACCCGAGCAGCGTGGCCATGGCGGCGGTACCAACACTGTACACACTTCAATAATGATCACTGACTATAGAGGCGGCGGACGTGTCCATGTAGGGGAAGTCCACGCGTCCACGTACGGAAAGCAGACGGCTTGATAGTCGTAGAGCCAGTTGAGCGAGTATACCCGTGCACCGAGCAGCGCGGCCATGGTGGCGGAACCAACACTGTACACACAATCTAACAATGATCACTGACCATAGAGGCGGAGGAGCTGTCGTCCACGTAGGCGAAGGTGACGGCCTGGTAATCGTGCAGCCAGTTGTGCGAGTACACCCGTGCACCGAGCAGCGCGGCCATGGCGGCGGTACCAACACTGTACCCACCCCAATAATGATCACTGACCATAGAGGCGGCGGACGTGTCCACGTAGGCGAAGCAGATGGTCTGGTAGTCGTGCAGTCAGTTGAGCGAGTACACCCGTGCGCCGAGCACCGCGGCCATGGCGGCGGTACCAACACTGTACCCACTCCAATAATGATCACTGACCATAGAGGCGGCGGACGTGTCCACGTAGGGGAAGCAGACGGCCTGGTAGTCGTGCAGCCAGTTGAGCGAGTACACCCGTGCGCCGAGCAGCGCGGCCATGGCGGCGGGGTGCGCAGTGGACAGGTGTACGCGTGCTGCTCCCCCTTCTACCTCCTCACCGGTCCCCACCCCCGCCACCACCCACCCACCCTCGTCAATTAGCACGCAGCTCCAATCCTTGCCGTCGCAGCTGGGCTTGCAGTCCGGCTCCTCGAGATCGCACTATAGAAGACGCGAGCGTTAATGCAGTTTGAATAAGACTAAGTTCAGATGCTCACGTGTCGATGCACGTGGTTTCTTAAGCGAGTAGTCTTGTTATCGCCGAAGAGATTTAATGAGACTTGAAGAAATTCTACAATGATGTAACTTGTAATGTATTCTACGTAAAAACTTCTTTTGAACCTTTTCAAGTTTTCAAACGTTTTTTTTCTTTTCGGTGAAGATAATCGAGTTGCACTTATCCAAATTTAAATGAAGTTTGTGTTTACTACAATAATAAGAAAGTCTGTCTCAGTCTCCTTGCAGCATCTGACAATCGTCTACGGACCTACAGGGTTTGTAAATTTTCATATCTGATCTGTGTACACGAGGAACTTGGAGTTCCTGAAAGTTTTTTGTCATTAAAAAATAAGACAAACAAAAGAGGTCCCAAGATCGGAACTCCAGAGGTTGCACGCATAATTTCAGACTCAAAGCCGTTAACCACCACCCTATGAATTCTGTTGTAAATATATGATGAAAATCAACGCAACAAATTACCTCGTATACCATAGTACGCAATTTTATCCAAAAGATATTTATGATCAACTATGTCAAAAAAATTTTCCTATAGTCTGTGTAAACAGCATCTACCTGAACTTGGTTATTGGTCCATATTTTCAAACAAAAAGTTTGTGTATACTATTAGTCATCCGCATTATCCTACGAAGAAAGAGGAGATCGTAGAGTACCTGCGGATTAAGACCAAATTCGAAAAAGATACCTGGTATTCATTTAAAGCAGTGTAAAAAAAATCTTGGGCAACCATAAATCAGAAGATTATTCCAATTTGTTGATGAATTACCACAAGATGGGGGTGAACATGTCATCTATAAATTCATGTTAAAAAATTGTACGTACGAATAGGACGTCAAGTTTTTTTTAAATTATAAAAAAAACTTGACGTCCTATTCTTTTCCCACTTCAGTATCTAACATAGGGTTTATTACTCTACTGATTCACATAAATTTCATATATGGGTAAAAACCCTTGTAAAGTAGTGATTTCATGGAGCCGACTGCACGCACTAAAAACATGACTCATGCGGTGTTACCTCGCTCTGAGGCGTTCCATTTAAGGCTTGAAGTGCAAGCGAGAGCGCGCAACGAGCGACAAAGAGGCACAATCGGCCTCCGCGTAAGGCAGCGTTCGACATCTGTCTCTCTCCTACTTGAGTGAGCGATGCGTCCGCGTGGACATAAGTAGCTGCTATGTATACGTACATGTAAATGTAATAATACATTTACATGTTTTTCAAGTATGAAGTGCAGTGAAAAGTGAATGTGGTGTCAATTGTTTATAGCAACGATAATTGGGGCGATAAAGGTAATGATTCTTTCGATATTAAATATATGTTCAGTGATATATTGTCGAATATTGGTGCTTTCATCATTAAAATATATAAATAAATAAATAAAATAAATACCATCGGTCCGTTAGTGCAGCGATTGTAGGTTTTGCTATAATTGACAAAACTATAGCAATAAGTTAACAGAACTATTCCGTGACATTTAATTAATATTGAATAGAACTATATATATTGTAAAAATGGTTGCCTGTAAAGTCGGTTTTACGGGCGAAGATTTTACGTGACAACGTCTTTTTCTCGGTAGAATATTTATTGATATGAATATAATTAAATTGCACAATAGGAACAAGGAATTGAATGAAAATAAGAATTGCACAAATTTTAACTATAGAAATATATTTTGTTTACTAAAACATTGTACATGTAAACTTAAACTTAACACGAGAGACTCATCGTAACGTTACCGAGCGTTACACTTTTTCATAAGTGACTCCCAGCCGCAACCTAATTTAAGACGTTGTCACGTCAAAAAACGTTGTCACGTTCAACTATCGTCAGTAAACCGGCTTTACAGACAACCGTTTTTTACTAACATTTAATGTAATACCTGTTTTTGTATTAAGTCTGTCATCATGTGTCTGAACATCACAGTTTTATTTAGAAACAAATTCATATTTTTTCTTACAAGTAATAAATTTTCGTATATGTGTATAGTGATGCGACCGTCATAATGACGGAAATGCCAAATTCTTTAAACTTTTCTCTTAAAGATTCTTTAACTTTAAGATGATAAATTGATCGAATAGCTCTCTTCTGCAGCACAAAAATAGTTTGAATGTCGAGGGCGTTTCCCCACAATAAAATTTCGTACGACATTATAGTATGTAAACAACTAAAGTACACTAATCTGGCCGTATCTACATCCGTGAACTGGCGTATCTTCATTACGGCATATGCTGCAGAGCAAAGTCTATTTGACATTTTATCAATATGTGGGCCACATGGAAGCTTAGAATCTAAAGTAATCCCTAAGAATACTGTGGTGTCTACAAGGACCAAATTCCTATACTCTACATTCACACTGGTTTTTACCTGATTTACATTAGGTAATACAAATTTCATACATTTTGTTTTCCCGTCATTTAGTAATAAATTATTAACATTGAACCAATGTTTCCTCACGTTTGAGTTAAAATAAAAGTGATGTATCATCCGCGAAAATACTATCTCATGGTTATCTCTTACATAGTAAGGTAAGTCATTAATATAAATTAAAAATAAGAAAGGACCAATGATTGAGCCTTGCGGAACACCCACCTTAACCGGCGAACCCGGAGACTTATTACCATTAATGTCAACCCCCTGAATCCTATCTCTCAGGTATGATGCAATAAGATCCAGATCGGTATTTCTAAATCCATAGTGGTGTAGTTTACTGAGTAATGTTTAATGAAAAACGCAATCAAAAGCCTCGCAAAATACACCTAGAGCGTCCCGCGAGTTCTCTCACATGAAAACTCACTGATCTCAATCACTTGTAGAACTGATTTTTATTGGACTGTGTGCGGTCGTGGCATGCGCGCACAATGGAATTAGCATCAAACCGACGTCATGCCTTATCAGACAAAAGGTACCTACGTGGCTTTGGATTAGCACAGCGCGTCTTTTCACTGACCGTATTGTTGGTGACGGCATCTAGCAGGTCAGCCAAGTGCTGCGGATGGAAGTGGTAACCGGCAACGCCGACGATGCTCTTGTCCGGGTTAGTTAGAGCACGGGCCGCGGTCAGCCATTCGTCTTTGGCACCGAGCTAGAAACACAAGATATATATTTCACAAATTCAATATCTAATCGTAGAGCGAAGGAGTGGAATTGACTGCCTGCGTATGTGTTACCGAGTACATTTATAATCCGACTCGTCTTAAAGCCAGAGTCAATAGGCTCCCTCTGGGTAAGCGCGCTACACCGTAGATCCCATCTCATTCCATCATCCCAGCAATAGCTTACCCACAACCAAAAAAAAAAACTAATTAAGTGGGTGTAGGTACCTACCTACACCCACTTAATTAGTTTTTTTTATAATTATATATAATTTCATTAATAGTCAATACAATCGAATCAGCAAAAGAGATTAAATAACTGTAGAAGTGCAGCAGGTAATAAGTATTAAATAAAACTTCAAGATCTTCAAGTCTTTAGCTGAGGTGACTTTATTTATGTATGCTGATGACTTTACGGCCGCTGCGGTGTTAGGGGGTGTCGAGCACCACTCGCCAGCATTCGATTATGACAAAGTGCTTACTAGAGGGCGCTAGGGTAATGATTGCATACGGGCGCTACATGGGCCTCTGGGGGCCTAGAGAAAAGCCCTTTTTTAGATTAGTTTGAACGATAACGCTAACTTGAAAGCTTGAAAGTTTAAAAATGAAGATCTAATCTTTAAAATTATGGAACGAAAGTATTTTATTTCTGTATTATAAATCAAATTTTTGATAAATATAAACCTAATGATTTCTCATTTGTTTTGGTTATTTTTAAAATTTAAAGTTAGTTATCGTCTAAACGAATAGAAATTTCCACTGTCTCACGAGCGTTGCGTATGTGGCAAGTCAGCGCGTGGTGGGCGCGTGCACGGCGAGGTGCGCGACTTCTCCTATATAACTGTATAGAATCGTCTCACGGGTAACGGTGCCGCGGCGACGGCGCGCCCGTACCACGGCTCGCCGGGCCTACCCAACCACTATGTATATGTCATCGGATTATAATAAATTCTGTAAGTTAATCAATTTCCTAGTAAATTGATCAACATTCGTAAGAATGTAAACGAGAGATAAAATGTAGTATCTTACGGGAACATTTTCGTAAATTGATCAATTTACCGAGCTTGGCCGTAAAATAATACGTTAGTTGATGAACAAAAATTTTACAAAGAGTTAGGTACTAAAGTTTTATAATGGACATGACCAAAGCAGTGAAAAGTCGGAATGGACCCAACAAAAATTAAAAAATGTGACGAAGGTACTATAGGGTATAACTGTACTTCCAGGGCCCAAGAGGTGTTACTTGTTTTTTTTTTGTAGAAAAGTCTCTTTTAACAGATTTTTTTTTCTGGCGCTTCACCGGCTGCTAGCGCGGCACGCTCGCTTTGCTCGCTCGGCTCGCACGTTTTGGTCACAACACTAACCTAACCTAACCTAGTGTAAGGTATAGTAAGGGCCGCTTGGGCCCTGGAAGAACAATTCAGCCTTATGGGCACCTATACAGTCATCTTGTGTATGAAAATATTTGCACATGTCTGATCGTACCTAAGTTTATGGCGGCAAGCACCGAAGTCGCTAACGGCGACCAATCAGAAAGCTGTGTATTATTTTACGTAAATTTAAATGACCTAAAATTAAACTCTGTTCTGGGATTGGTCACAGTACTTAGAATTTTATGTTGATAGGTCTTGAAATTTTAAGTTAGTTTATCAATTTACAGCGAGACGTCGTTAATTCATCAATTTACGAAAATGTTCCCGTAAGATGAATACATTTTATGTCTCGTTTACTATCTTACGAAAGTTGATCAATTTACAAGGAAATTGATAAACCTACGGAATGGATTATATTCCGGTGACATATATAACTGTATAGTATCGTCTCACGGGCGGCGGAGTGATGGCGGTGTTGCGCATGCGGCGCGCCGGCGTGACGGGCGCGTGCACGGTGAGGTGCGGGGCGGCGGCGACGGCGTGCCGGTACCACGGCTCGTCGGGCCCGCGCGACCACTCGGCCCCGCCCGGCGCCGGTGCGTGCGCGCTCGGCGTGCGGTACTGTCGCCATCGGGTCAAACCACTCTCTACCAGAATTAATAATAGAGACATCAGGGGTAACACAAATCGAGATAAGTATCGTTAACAGCGTCGTATCATATCCTATTCGTCCTATAAATCGTAGTCATATAACAGCGTCACACGGAGTTAAGTAGCGAAAAGTCAGATGCTGATCAAAACCTTCTCCATATAAATCTATATGACGAACCCCTTCTTTAGAAAATTTATAATAGAAAGTGATCTGGATGAGTCAAACCAAAATGAGATTCACTTCATCATGCGGGAAGAAGAACGCAGTCGGGTGTTGTGAATGACTATCAGTGGGTAATTAGCTTCCATGAGATATATTGTCAATCTGGTGAAGGTCGCAAAAAGCCACTGGATATTGGTAGCACAGGAATCAGGACCAATCCTAGTGGAAATAGTTTATACTTATGCCCAGTATTTATTTTACCGCCAGCATAGAAAGCAGTGACGGCGCCCAGCACGCAGCCCATGCAGTCGAAGTCTTGGTGCTCGTCGGCCCATTCGCTGGTAGCTACCGCCTCCTTGCAAAGTCGAGCCATCAGCTGCTCGTTACCTATAAACATTTTATAAACGTAAGAGAGGAAAAAAGTATCACTGCAAATTACTTCAAAAGTAAATTAAAATCATATTTATAGTGAAATAACACTACCTATTGGTGGTATTGTAAACACAATCGGTAATATTCTAGGGCTCCAAGGGGTAGGGGATTAGGTCAAGATAATCAACGGCGCGAGTGATATTTCTGGTATCGCAAGCAATCTATCTATAGGCTGTGGTGACCGTTTACCATAGGGCGGGCATTAAGCTTGTTTCCCACAATTTAAACATAAAAAAACCTGATTTTTTCTTTAATATTCTATTACCTTTATCATCTAAACTCATCCTACTTAATGTTATAAATATGAAAGTTAGTATGTTTGTTACTCAATCACGTAAAAACTACTGAACGGATTTTGATGAAAATTTGACAGATAGGTTTAAAATTGGAAATTTTCAAAAAACTGAAGTTAAAGCGGACGAAATCCATTAAGGAAATAATATTTTTATATCTATGCATGTTTATTATTTGGCGCAGAAGGATTTTGTTAATATTTAATACCCTATTTTTTTTCCAAATATGTAGTTAAAAGTAACAGAAGAAATCCCAATCAAAACCTTAAGATCAAAACTAACATTGATAGGTCTTGTCGAGTAAAGCCGGTGGTATGTTCGAGTACACATGCTTGAGCTTCTTCATGGCGAAATTTGGTTCGTCGCTGCGTCGCCTGATAAAGTGTAGTACCTCAGAGTCTTGCGAGTCGAAGTAGGGCTCCACATGTCGACAGTATAACCTGTAATATCAATAAATTAATATTCACACTCACACCAATTAGCCTAGCCCCAGAGTAAGCACTGAGGCTTGTTATGGTATACTAGCGTAACGGATAGAATACATATACTGATACATATATAAGAATATTAAGAACATCCATGAATAAAGTACAAATGTTCGTATCATAACCTAACATTTTTCCCCACCGGGATTCAAACCCGGACCCTCTGAGTAGGCGACACCACGAAACCCGGCGCAAATGCCACTCAGCCACGGAGTCCGTCCGTAATCAAAGTATAGTTATTTTAACTTCTGTAGGTACAACAATAACTTACAGTACAAATTAAATTTTCTTGTGACAAATTAGAAAAAATAAAATATTCTGTTTTCTTTACTTAACTAAGCTTGCGTCATTTTGTGTTTTAATTGTATCATACAATGATACTAGTTTCTGTAACTCCTTTGAAAAGTTTTCATATTATTTGATTTGGAGTCAAATACAATGTTTTAGATAAGTGGCGTGACTACAACGGCAACGACAAACTGAAGAATGATTACATTAGATAGCCCGTAATATGCCAATGTCGTACCACCAGATGCCCTATTACAAAAAGCTTCCTTTCAGAGATAGGAGTCAGTTACGCTGAAAAAATCCTCGCTGACCCTTTTGATTTTAAGCTATAATATTAAAACGTAGTCTTATTATAGGGACACTCAAATAAATATGTATTAACAATAATATTGGGTGATGTGATTTATTAAAAGAATTACAATATATAGAAAGAAAATAACAACAACTTGAAAACTCCCTAATGTATAAAGTTTAAATACAAGTTATCTTAACCTACTTATAAATAATATCTAATTTACAAAATGAAAAATAAGTCACCCCCAGCGCCGCCGTCAGGAATGGTGCCCAATAGGCTGGCAGCATTGCCACGTTGAATGGCAAGGCTGATCCGTTGATTAAGATAGCTGCCAGCCTTTTGGTCACCAGTCACTTCGGTGAGTCTCTTTGATAATTCCTTAAACAAGGAACGAGCGCTTGGACACCATGGGCCCATAGTCTCAGCACCAAATGGCGCAAATATATAGTTCTCATTGAGAGCTGAATATTTGCGCCGCTTGGAGCACTCAGCAGAGGCGGCCGCCGCACCCGCAGCAAGGGAGGTGCTCCCTGTATGATACGGAGCAAGCGTATCCGCGCAAGTTGCGTCCCATACAAGAGGGCGACCCTGCTTCCAAGGAATGAGCGTCATTCCGATAGGCCTTTTGCCATCGTCACGAAGATGCCGCTAGGACGTTGGACGTTGAATGCGACAAGAGCTCTGCGGGTGACGTCATTGAAGCATGCGTGGCGGGAGAGTCGGCCAGCGCTTATTTGGCATGAGCGACCATGGTGACCCAACTCACCGACGCGAGTACCGCAACGACAGCGATGGGGATGAAATTAAGAACAAACAATAATAATTAAGATAAACTACTTTAACCAGTTTTATACCCGTCTAATAACTCACCAATCAGGATGTACTGAAAAATCACTCCTCGACAAAGTTTTCAGCGCGGCCTCTGCTAATTGTTGAGTAAAGGAGCTCTCCGGCACCGCATGCTTTCTTCCATAAGGCGGTAAAACCACAACGGCCGTATAATGGTCCACCACCCGCCTCCAATGATATTCCCTTGGTTCCATACTCGCCCTCATACCGTACTCGTATACGTTCTTCCCGTTCATCACCCGACTGCCTTTAGGCTGACTTATTACGAGTGATTTACGAAACTGAAAGACAAAAAACTATATTTGATTGTTGTTTAATTTTTAGCTACATACAGTGTTACCAGGTCCAATTTTAAAAAGACACGGGAGGCGCTATAAAGAAAAACAGTAAATGTATGGAAAGAGCTACAAGAAAAAACAGTAGATGCAGGCGTACTTTTGAACTTTTGGGGCTAGAATTGGTAAATCAAATCAAGTTATAGGCCAGTAACGAATGTGTTTCTATGGCTTCTGCCACCCCTCAAAAAACTTCGTTTTTTAGAAAATATCATATTTATTTTATTATAACCTACATTATTAATGGCGGAAAACGCAACTCAACATGCGATATGATACATAACGCGTTTTTATCACATTCAATTGTCAAATTACTATGGAGTTTGACAGGTAGACGAGATAAAAAAAACATGATATAATTGTAAATTGTGGTGCTTATGCTACGGGGACTGACTTAATATAAAATAGCTATAACAGCATATAATTCTACTATATCGTGCACTTGAACTACTTTGTTATATAAAGGTATTTTGAAACTATTATTGATTGAATCACATACAATTTTCTAAAAGCATAAATCTTTACCTCTTTCCAATCCTGCGGGTAGTCTCTGGGCTCATGGGGGATATCGGGTTGTTCTAGATCCATAAAATCTACCGTTCGGTAGCCGGGCTTCAATATGTCGCCGTCAAACTGAAGAAAATTTTGTATAATATGTAACTATGTTAATAATGCAGTGATCTGCATGATTCCTAGATGTAAACTCTATAAATATAAAGTGCGTCTGCTTGTTCGTCTGTCTGTACCTCTTCACGCTTAAACGTCTGAACCGATTTAAATCAGATTTGATAAAGATATAGCTTGAGTCCCCGGAAAGAACATAGGATAGATTTTATCATAGAAATCGCTCTTTAATAGGAGTGAAAAGGGAGGGTAACAGTATGTATAGGAAACCAATTTTTCCACACAGACGAAGTCGCGGGCACCGACTAGTTGATAAGGTAAAAACGCAAATATTGTTTTTACTTTATGATTAAACAAGTTGTTAAAAGTTGGAGGTTGGAGGTTAAAGGAAAAAGGAGTTGAATAGAATTATACTCACAACTGGTTTCATGTTATCATGCAAGACGATATTTCCGCGATGGTCGATCAAAAATAATGACCCTCCGGCGCCCAACTGTACAAAAATGTACATTCAAAAAGTTCACGATTGTCAATACATAATTATTTGGATTATCGCTCACCTTCAAAAAGTTAATATAACTTTGAAATAAATAAAAAACAAAACTATTTAAGGCTGAGACCTAGCTGGTGGTAACAAACTAGACAAACAAAATATAGAACTTTAGTACGGGTTTGTTATTCAAATTTAAAAGCCAAACATGTTTAAGCGTCATTCTAACTGTGTTTGCCTTTAAACGATTGAAAAAGGTGGAATATACTTCGGTGCAAGTGGGCTTAAGATTTTTAGCTATTTGCGTATCTGAACTATATCAGGTAAATTATATCAATGTTACGGAGCTACCTATAAATAAAGTTCGAATTAGAATCATTCAATGATTAGAATACAAACAACCTGAAAAAAAGATAAATCGTAGTGGGCTATGCTACGGCATCGTAGCATATCTCGTAGTCGAATCGTAGTATAGACAGTTATGTAACAAATATTTCTACTTAATCTTAGGAAAAATGCATATAGGATTCTTAATTACAGGCTATTGTAGGTAATCATATTGTTAGTCATATTATAAGAAACAAGAAATTGAGATATGACGTACTAATTTAAAGCAAGCTTACGCGTGTACATATGCAATAGTCCAGTTCGATTGCGCAACAGTTAACGCGTTCGGTATGCGTTTGTGGAATTTCAACTACTTCCCAAATGGCCTCATACTCAATATATCAACTTTTTTCTTACATTAAGCAGCTGGCTACACAGTTTTTTACAGCCAATAGAATCCTTGCAAATTTTTATATACACACTGTCGCGTCGTTAGCATCCATCTATCCGAACAAGAGTCTGGTGGTTGGTCCTGTTTTCCTAAGGGTATATACGAGTACTTATGTGTTTAAGGAAGTTCTGTGATATAACACAACATAGGCTGATGATGATATACATAGGTAATGTAACTTCAATTTAATACCTGATAGTAAGGCAGGATAAGCTTCAAGTGATCGATAGGTATATCGACACCAGCAACACCAAGGAGCCGATTGACAGGATACTGCGCGAGATATGTAACAACATAAACTATTTCAATTAATAAGTTATTACATTTCAAATTCAGTGATTCACATACTAATGATAATTTGACGACCTCCGTGGTCGAGTGGTTTGTACGCCGGGTTTCATGGTGTCGCCAACTCGAGAGGTCCCGGGTTCGAATCCCGGTGGGGGCAGATGTTTGTGTGATGAATACGAGCATTAGTTCTCCAGTCATGGATGTTTAATATGTATTTCTATATAAATATACTTATATATGTACTGTATATGTATTCTATCCGTTACCCTAGTATCCCATAACACAAGCCCAACAGTGCTTACTTTGGGGCTAGGCTAATTGGTGTGAGTATTGGAAATATTTAAATTTTTTAAATATTTAAATGGGCTGAGAAAAAAAGAAAACACCAGCTGATAGATGCAGAAACAATTTACCTACAATTGTACAAACAAAATATTATTAAAATATTACTTTGTTTGTTGTGAGGTTTTTTGTTATATCTTATTAGACAATGATATTTTATATTGTTTTAAACTTTCATGGTCACTAACACTATAGTAATATAAGTTACTAGCAAACCAGTGAACCAAATGTTCACCAAAACCTGATTTAAAAAAAATGTATTTAATTAATTGAGAACTTCGAAGATTTTGTGTGGTTTCGTTTGAAATTCGTGATTTCTCGAAAACCGGAAGTGCTACGTTACTCAAATCCGGTTTGTAGTCTTATCAGACTATTCTTAACTTATAACTTAAATATTCTCTTTATCTATCTCTTACGGTTTGGCCGCTGAAACAGCACCACAGACAGACGGACTTGTCTAATAGATAAGAGATTATTAATCAATTAGCAAACCAGTGAACCAAATGTTCACCAAAACCTGATTTAAAAAAAAAAATTGAGAACTTCGGAGATTTTGTGTGGTTTCGTTTGAAATTCGTGATTTCTCGAAAACCGGAAGTGCTACGTTACTCAAATCCGGTTTGTAGTCTTATCAAACTATTCTTAACTTATAACTTAAATATTCTCCTTATCTATCTCTTACGGTTTGGCCGCTGAAACAGCACCACAGACAGACGGACGAACGGACGGACTTGTCTAATAGATAAGAGATTATACGAGATTGTTACCATATACCTTGTTTTTAGCGAGTTTCCGATGATCACGGAGTAACTGCCTGAGTTACTTACATTTATATTATAGATATTTTATTTATAGATATATTACTTTAATATAGTAATTGCGTTTAAAATCTGTTACGAATTCCAATTTAACTTCAAAATTTCAATTGTTTTCTTTTATTGTTACATTTATTAGTCGTAGAGACGACACTTGATTGAAAAGTAAGTACATACTACATAGGTATTCTCACAAACATTTTTTTTGTAGTATTTGTCCTTATTTTGAATCATACTTGTTTATAGTTTTGAAGTGATCGCAGAGAAAGCAGAGAAAGCAGAAAAATCCGTCACAGGGTGGCGTCGGGTTCGTGGTCAACAAAGTCCTTACTGACAACGTTATTGAAATCTCCAGTGTGTCGGCGAGGGTTGCGTACCTCATTATAAAATTAACCAGAAGGTATAGCCTAAAGGTTATACAAGTGTACACTCCAACGTCGAAATACTCGGATGATGTCGTGGAAGAGATATACAAGGACATCTCTCGAGCCTTACACACCACCACCAAGGCTCACTTTAACGTTGTCATGGGGGATTTCAACGCTAAAGTGGGAGTACAGACATGCAGCGAATCGATGCTAGGATCATACGGCTATGGGAGTAGGAATCATAGGGGGCAAATGCTCGTCAATTTGGGCTTTTCTTAATGAATTCGTTCTTTAAGAAACAGCCCCAGAGGAAAAGGACGTGGCGGAGCCCCGATAGTATGACCAAAAACGAGATTGACTCATATCGGACAAGAAGAGCATATTCAGAGATGTCTCAGTGATCAATAGGTTTAAAACTGGAAGAGATCACCGACTTCTAAGAGGCACTCTGAATATCGATTTTAAGCGCGAACGTTGTCGATTGATGGAGTTCACGCTCCGGCCAAATCTGCTCCAATCGGCTGTTGGTTTCGGCTCGGCATTCCAACTGAAACTGGAAAATTGATTCACTGCCTTGGAAACCACAATTGACGTTGACATCGACGAGGAACTCGACCAAGTGGTAAAAATCTTTCGGGACGAGGGTGCAAAGTTCTGTGAGCTGCGACGTACGGGCAAGCGGTCTAAGCTTTCGAAAGAGACTCTGGATCTAATGGACAAGCGGCGAATCGATCCACTAGTCACTTCGTCAGAACAACGGGCTCAGAATAAGTCCATCTCCAAGCTAATAAGGCGTGACCTCCGATGCTCCAATACACTCTTGATACAGAGAGTAATTGAGCAGAACCGGGGGTCTAAAGTCTTCGTACAACAGCTTGGATGGAGCCATCTGACAAAGTTGACCAAAACAAATGGAGAAGTCGTCACGTCGAAACTAGAGATTCTTTCGGAAGTTTATACCTATTATAGCCAGTTGTACACGTCGCACTCGCCCCACCCTACGTCGGATGAGAGAGATTTAAGAGCCACATTAACCCGCCATGTGACGGAGGATCTCCCCGACATTTGACGGTGGATCTCCCCGACATCGACCTAGAGGAGATAGAGGTGGCTCTTGGGCAACTTAAAAATGGAAAAGCCCCGCGGGAAGACGGAGTCACAACCGAGCTTCTGAAAGCTGCCGCAAGCCGGTGCTGAAGTTCAGCTGCCAGGTGTTGTTTGTCACAGACACCCTGTGCTCTCAACAAAGAAAACAACTCTTTGTTTCAGAGAGCAAGTACTGAAGGATAATAACCTGAATGTACCACGTCGCCGTCACAGTCGCGCCAAACCTAGCACAGTCGACCGACAACCTGCTATACTACCTTACATGAAAGGAGTCACTGACAAGATTGGGAGGATTCTGAAGCGTGCTTCAATCAATATTTACTTCAAGCCGCCAAAGAAGATCAACCAGTTTCTACGACCGGTCAAGTGCAATATACCCTTTCAAGTTGCTGGTGTCTACAAACTTGAATGCGACTGTGGGCTCTCCTACATCGGGCAAACAAAGAGGAGTATAGGGACTCGGGTAATAGAACAAATCGCAGATATGAAACATAGGCGCGAAAATAAGTCTGCAGTGTGTGAACATGCATTAGGGGGACCAAACCATTACATTAGATTTGATAAACCACAGATCCTTGCAACTGAGCAACGATTAGTTCCTAGAATAATACGCGAGGCTATTGAGATTAAAAAATATCCAAATTTCAATAGGGAAGATGGTATGGTATATACCACCAGCTTGGGAACCCATTATACAAGAGATAAAATCCCAACCCCGAGCACACACTGCAAGACCAAAAGATACTATTAGTTCTTTTTGTTTGCATAATTTAACATAAGAAGGAGATAGAAAGCCTCTCTTGAGTGTGTTTCGCAGGTTCTTATAAGAAAGGTCTCCCAATTTTGGAACCGGTGGTAGTTTACGGTAGTTAGGGTCAAATAAATAAATCAAAACTACAAAAAATAATTTTAAATAAAATACTTTATTAAGTAAATTAAATAATAAATTCATACATAGACAATAAAACTTTTAAAATCTAACAATGAAATAACCGAACGCTCAATAAAAGTCTTTCGAAGGTAGCTCGACAAATTAAATAAAAGTTTGATTCTGACGACGTAGCCTGTAAAGGCTACGAAACGTCAATAAATAAATAAAGTTTCGTGCATAAACCCGTAAAAACTAGTTTTATTTAATGTGTATTCTGATGTAACAGACAGTAACACTCATTAATAAACTTGAGGAAATTTATTATAAAAAAAAGTGTTAATACATATGGACAATTTAAGAATATGATGATTTGCTAAATAGACTTTCTGCTGTACAGATCATCTGAGAGTTGGACGTTTTGGTACATGGACATTTTGCTAATGAGTGTTTCTGCTCATTAGACGCGTCGCGGTGTTAGACTTTATTTTCTTTCTTTAGAGGTTGAACTTATTTCATTATCCACATGCAAGATACGATAGAAACTTTAGGTAAAGTGCGGTGTTAATCTTTCTTGATAAAAAAATCTGAATAATTCAACGAATCAAATATATTGATAAGCATAATTATAGAGATAAATAATAATAACATGAATAGTGCTAATTACCGTTCGCGTCGCATTCCTCGGGTCTTCCTGCAAACAGAGATGATGATAAGATACCAAAAAACAAAACAAAATTGTAATTGGTATATTATATGATCATAAAATAAAATATACAATAACACCAAATGATAAAGATAAGGCAAATGATACGCATTTAATTGAAAATATGTTGACAATATGTTTAAACAGTCATAAATTTATTAATTTATGGGAAGCGAAAAAGTGTTATTTTTTCCAAATGTTACTTCAGATTTTATTTGTTGATAATCGTTTCTAAGTATTTATTAATAAAGTGATACAAAAATGCTACTGAGTCATGCTGATAAGACGATCAACTTGATTTATTCATGAAAGTTTATTCAATTACTTATATTTTCATTTAATTATGTCAATTAGTTAAAATTGAACATAAAATCTTTTAATGTTGTTCTTACCTCAAAGAGTTGTATAGTGATATTCTGAAAAAAAAAGAGATATAAGTAGATATGAACGCAGAAATAAGATTTGAAAATCAGAAATAAATTTAAGAAATATTTCTCATGCTTACACGCATTTCATAAAATTTAGCACACCTTTGATACAGTGTCATCAACACCTACTTCTAAAGCTAGAAAAAGAGCAAAAAAGTCCTGAACTCGTTACCTAAATAATATTTCAATAGAAATTAGACTAGATAGGAAGAATTCAATACATAAGCTTTAAAATATACCTGTAAAGCATAATACCTGTATGAGCCCCTATTAATCCAACTCATATTATTGTCATCTTAAATTCCAGAGGACACCTCTAATTTCGTAATACTGTCTTAATTGGTCTCGATATAAGAATTGAAAGACTACTCAGACGAGGGAGTTTTGTCCGCCAAAATAGATCGCTTACATCTGCATGGAATAACGCTTACTCAGATTGTAATGCGTACAAAATGTTTCTTCAAACAACCAAGGACATCGTGAGACCGGACAAAACAAAAGTACGCGAGTCCCCGAAAAACATAGATCTTATGTAACTAGGCGCAGCAACGCACACCGCGAACAGCACGCGTTTTCGATTTAAAGACCTTTAAACAGTTTTCTCTTTTTCTATAACTTCATGTTGATTACAATACAACATAATCTGAGAATATTTACTTGCATAGCGTGCGCTTTTCAAAATTTTAGGACAACAATGTTCTACACTGTGTGCGCTGAGTCACGTCAAGTCTCTGATCTGCACAGGTCATTTAGATGATTTGCCCCTCCCTTTAAAAACATTAACTTACTTCAACAGTTGTGCTTTCGAACACTGGCACCGACACGCTAATCTGTAGACGATAGTTGCGATCTATACCTTCGTAATAGAACCCTTGCTGATCCTGCAACACAAGGATTTATATTTTGGATAAAAAATATTTCTAATATCAGATGGCGCAGGTGGTTAGCGTGTTCGGTATGCGGTTGTAGAAGTTAAGCAACTTTCGCAATGGCCGGTCATTGGATGGGTGACCGAAAACTTTTTACTCGATCTCCAACATGCTTCGGAAGGTAAAGCCGTTGGTCCCGATATTTAAGTACCCATCAATCCATAGTAATAATGTATATTCATTATTTAAGGTTACCCATTAAAAGAGTCTAAGGCGGAAGCAATATGATTTTTTTTGAACTTCTGATCAATTTCTAATATTTTTATGCATTTATTATTTTGTTAATAATTCCAATTTAATTTATTTATGATTAAAGCATAAATCCCATTGAATAAATTATACATTTCATAACGATAATATAAAATATCAATTGATTAAACTTGCAGTTTGGGTGCATGTGATTCATGTTAGTTAGGCTTTTTGATATGTGTAATTCCGGTTTAAAATACACCGCATGCAGTTCCTGAGGTTTCGCTATGTTAGTAGCAGATTTTCCTCTCAAAATTCGCCAGTTACGGGAAGCAACTTTCACCTCACAAAATACCATAGCATAGAAATACTACTAAATATTAACTGATTAAACAGAAAACCAGCCAAATGCGAGTCGCACTCGCGCACCGAGGGTTCCGAACAAACCTGTAGGTATATTTACGGTTTTCTCATTTTTTCCTTTATCTGAGCTATAAGACGTTGCTTCGTACCAAATTCAAGATTCACAGGAAGTACCCTGTAGGTATGGATTCCCTTGCGAGTTTCGTAAATTTGCGGAATAATCGGCTGTATCTTTTGATTGCGTTAACTTAGAAGTGCGATTTTTTCACAGATCTAAGGAAAAGTAGACCTGAGTAATTGTTATAAATTTCAGCTTGATACCTCCACGCTTTCCTGAGAAAAAGGGTCTTAACAGACGGACGGATGATAACAATGTGATCCTATGAGGGTTCCGTTTTTCCTTTCGAGGAACAGAACCCTAAAAAGGAGGAGGTTCTGAAAAATTCGTGGTGTATGTTTTTTGGCAGTGCTATAACTGTTGTTGAGTTAGGTATTAAGATTCCATAAAGTTAGGGGATTGGATTCAGACCGACCAGACACATACGCTATATTCAAGATAAATAATTGCACATCGACAATAAATACAAGCTCTGAATTGAGGAGCTGGCGAACAAAACGGTATAACATCAAATTAAATTTTACAGAAGCAGTAAAAAACTGTATGACATATCTACAGTGAGCTTTTGGCGTGATTTTTAATTTAGTTATTTTAACACTATTTTAGGTAGTTTTGATTGACATGAGTTGAATTTCAAATTCAACTGGGCCAAAACCTCCGGGCTGTAAAAATAAAGTATTATATGGTCAAAACCATATGCGTAATTATACCGTTTTGTTCACCAGCTCCTCAATTTATTAAAAATGAAGAACATTAAGTAATCAAATTTTAATGTACCCACTAGGCTCTGTTGATGCATGTGATGTTTGTATGTGTCGTTCAGCAACTTCGCTTTGTTTTTTCTCAGTTCGTTGTAGCGGTACACTTGTTCGGCATTCTCTTTTTGTCTCCAATAATATTCGCTTCTTCTTGGATCCTAAAAAAAATAATAATTAATATTCATCCTGTTACTGATATAGCAATTGGATCACATTTAAAACATGGTTAAATTATATTTTTTCAGTTAAAAATATATTTTAAGTAGGCACCTGAATAAAAATGACAAAATAATCAATGTTATAACGAAAGAACAGGTGTGTTATCATGCCTAAATATACAGTATGTACTTGGTATTTCTAACCCAATCGGAATATGGCCTAAGTTAGTATATATTCGGTGGTCAAAATATTCGTTGTTGCCTTTGAGTGCATCCTTTCGTCCTTGGGTTTGTACAGGGGGTGTTATATATAGTACGAAAGAAAATACGAAAATTTTGCAATTTAATATAATAATTTAATGTTTTAAACAATCTATGGCGGGCATGGCGTGATGATGAGTGAACAACATTTTCGTAGGCACGTATAAGAGAAATTGATAGAGACTTGTTGAAAATTTTTTTGCTTTCAATATTTTTTCTTATCTACCCGTTCCAATACGGCCATATACGCGTTCTAAAGCAGCTACTGCAGAATATTTTTTTATATGCATAAGATTAAGTAGAACCTTTAACATTGTTATAAACTATATGTTCTTTCATCCAAATCCATTCAGTTGTGTCTGCGTGATTGAGCAGTTGTAATTATAATTTTTCATTAAAATCAGCAGAAGCGACTTTAGTCTACTTTGCGCCGTCTAAGTAAGCGTATGGTCAAAATGGGAAGATGTCGCGTGGTGCTCGGCGCTCCCATAGACCTCTACGCCCTTGTACAACGCACACCCTTCACCATAGGTAAAGCTGCCTCTGAATCAGTGTCACCGTGTTACATTGCAAACTGCAAACACTTTCACTTCCAATTCAATTATTCTGTCGGTATTGTCCACTGCAGATTTGAAAATTTAAAGTGCACTTTACCTCTTCTGAGGAGCTCGATGGCGCAGATGGATAGCGAATTCAGCCTGCGATCATTGAAGTTTTAGATTCAGCTTTCGCAATGGACCGACCATTGGATGGGTGACCAAAACTTATTATCTCTACTTACTATCTCTGTTTAGGAAGGCACGTCAAGCCAACGCCTTAACGTGCCTTCCCAGCTGGATCTGCCATCGTTAGCACCCACCAATCTGCACTGGGCCCGCGTAGTGGGTCACATCCCAGTCTCCCTATTCCATCCATATGGAAGGCCTGTGCTCCAGCAGTGAAGACGTAAATAGGATTGTAGAGCAGGCGCTCGAGCGAACGCAGCACGCGCACCACCTGCTGTCGTTCATGGTCATCAGCTCCGCGAAGTGTCTGTCGCGGTCACAGCTTACTTAAAACACCTATACTATCAGTCAGTCTTACTTCCAGATGCGCGTACACGTCGCTGTAGACACGCAGGCGGCGCGACCGCTGCGCCACGAGCGGGCGCTCGAGTACGCGCAGCACGCGCATGACCTGCTCCGTCACGTCAGCCGTCGTCACTAACTCCGCGAAGTGCCCGTCGCGGTCACAGCTCACTGACTGCCCCAGCTGTAGCGTGTTGTCGCGTAGACCGTAACGGTCGTGCAACCACATAACGAATAACCTAAAAAAAACATCCTTTTTCAATAGCCTTGATTATTTATTTACAATACATATTCATTTCCCCATTGCTACGTGCACTGGTTTTCCGTATGGATAGAACAAAGAGCCGACCAATCCACACTGAGCCGCAACGATATTAAATACCATATCGTTGCTCAGCCGTCCTACCTAACGACTACACATGCAACAACAACGGCTTCCAAAGCACGGGCGAGCTTTTGTTTGGTCACGACCGGATGATATGACCGGCTTTGAGAGAGTTGCTTAACTTCCATGATCTCAGATAACAATGCAATGCAGATGATAAAGAAAATTAAATCGACTTTTTGGGAAATCACCCCGTCGACAGCACACTCAATCTTAAAACCATTATCTCATCTAACATCACACTTCGATTCAGATTTTTTTATAATGATTAGCTTGGAATGCATTACGTATATTAAATAGATATAAAGATAATTACGATACAATCAAACTTAGATGACTACAGTGTAATCTTGCTTTGTATATTTCCATTGCAAAGGTCCCATACCATACGATAACAACGCAAGAATCATTGTAATCAAAACAGAAAAATGCATTGCTTAACGTCTGCTTTTACTTATTTGAGTGTTTATTTTGTGTAATTATTTGTTGTTTTACTATTTTTATACTTAGAATAACATCCCGCATGCAACAGAAAATTTTCGATTTCTGTGTGTCTGTTTGCTTGTTTGATCGGAGGATCAGATATTTATAACGTTGGCTAATTACGTATCAGAAACTTTAGTTTCTAGAAACATACTGTAATGCAACACGTGCGAGGTATGTATGTAACTCCGCGTAAAGTGAATGAAGTACCTATTACCAGGCTATTACGAAGTTGGCCGTGCTTTGATTAAAATTTCATTTGTTATTATTGCCTACGCAAATAATAAGCAATTACCACATTGTATAGAACCCGGCCAGCTTAGTGGTTATGGCTTGATATAATTCACTAAGATGAGTTTAAGCTATCTTTGATATTTAAGATGTAAATGTTTCTATTATAAATAACTCTATTTGTATTTATACTTTGTAACACAGCAATCAAAATGCAGGTGAATAATTAATGTATAATTTCACATTATGTAATGAAAGGTGATTTCATGAATCATCTCTGAAGTCATTTTTCAACTTGACGACTCTGTAAATGATAAAACAGGGAGAAAAAAACAGCCCTTGCTGAGTTTCTTGCCGGTTCTTCTCAGTACAAGGTCTCCCGCCGTAGATTTACGAACCGATGGCGTAGCTTCTAGACATTCATATGTGCTTGTAACAGCCTAAACTGAATAAATGATTATGATTATGATTATCAGAGACGAGCAAGATGGTCGCAGCTGTTCCGGCATGCTCACCGAGTACTTCAGGACGTATTCCACGTCCGTCTCATTGTTGTTTTTAGGATCAAGGATTTGTCTCATTTAACATAAGTTACCTGATCTATCCACTGGGGTCTAACTGGCGCATAAGAGATCGATGAAGTTGTACTACATGCTGTTGTTGACGAGCACGATAGCCAGGGGGGTACGTTGTGCATCTTAAGGATTCTAGATCTTTATCTCGTGTTATTTATTTGCCTGATCCGTCCCCTAGGGTTCAACTGGCGCATTAGGTCCGTAAAGTTATACTCCATGATGTCTGTTATAAGTAAAATAGTTTGCTGGTAGGCGGGCGGCTGTGTATAGAGTACTTCGACATGTATTCCAGAGTTTCACGTGACTTACTTGTTCCGTCCAATAGTGTCCAACAGGTGCATTAGGTCTGTAAAGTTATACTCCACTGCCGGCAGGAGGGCGGACGCTCCGGGGTGCCGCGCTGTCTCTGCAGCATGCGCACCGAGTACTTCAACACGTATTTCATGTCGGTTTCGTTGTGCATCTTTAGAATTAAAGTGCACAAGCGACGTTAGCTAGTGCAGCTCCCAAAGTATGAGCGCTGCGATATGATATATAGCACGTTTTTATCACGCTCAATTATCAAATTACTAGTTTGACAGTTCGAAGCGAAAAAACACGTGATATAATGTAAATCGTAGAGCTCATGCTACTGGGACTGATTAGGTAAATCAACAGCTGCATTGCACGGTCTCAATTATCAAGCTGGAGTCGCCGCATCGGGGCAGCGTTGTTGATTCCCAATAAGGAACCCACGTCGTCGTTACCGGCAAGGTGAGTGCAAATCCTGGACTTTAAGTGGGTAGGATCGTTTTATTCCGAGTAGCCATTGAACCGGCCCGGGGGATAGGTGGCCCTAGGAGAGCCTTATTTACATAAACTCGTTGCCTTACCCAGCAACGGAAGGATTAATTAGCACATATCTCGTTTCGCGTCACTTACCTGATCCGTCCACTTGGGTCCAACAGGCGCATTTTGTCCGTAAAGTTATACTCCATGCTATCGGTGACTAGTACGATTGCCTGCTGGCAGGAGGGCGGTCGCTCTGGGGTGCCGCGCTGTCTCTGCAGCATGCGCACCGAGTAATTCAACACGTATTCCATGTCAGTTAAGTTGTACATTTTCAGGTCTTTTAATGCGGACATCATCGCTGCTGAGTTTACGTGGTTCGCCTGAGAACAGACGAAATAAAAGTTAAGGATATGCATTTTTAAAGTGGTAGACAGAGCTGTGAAATGTAGATCGCAGTGTTCGATGGCATGGGATAGACTTCTTTGTTTCCATTTGCGAATACCCATTATTGGCGTGAACAGTTTTTTGACCAGATAGTAAATCTTAAAAAGTTTTATTAGTGCATTCGGTAGCGGAGAATCTATTGCATGCGATGAGCTTGCAACGCGTTTCTATTAAAATTTTCTTTTGATTTGAACATTTAGCAGTTAAATGCTTAAAAATAAAAATAAAATGCTATTTCTTCTTTCATATGTTTAATACTTGTAAAGGTATTCGTTTGACATTGTGGGTTACCTACAATGCGAAGAGATGGCGCTGCCTTGCAGCCTAAGAATTACTAGAAGTAATTCGACACGGCCATTAGGGCTGCGGTATTATAATGGTTAGTCCATCCGCCCGGATAGCGGAGGGTGTGGGGTCGAGTCCCACCTGCTGCTAAAGTATATTATAACAAGGAATAACTTTGATTGATAGCTTCTTAATCAGATATCAGAATATAGATTAATCTTTTAAATCAACAATGATATTGGAAATAATCGGCCAATCGCTTAGATAAGATAAATTCTCGAATCATTGATTAGATTTAAAAAAAATGCACGTGCAATATAGTTTGTGCGTTGCCAGGCAAAAGTATGTAGGTACTCGTATGTCAGTGGAATCAGTACTAAACTATACATATAATTTTAACAGTCATAATAATAAACTTCATATAACACATAGGTTTACAGAAATAAATAGATGACTATTCATAGACAACCAAATTTTTTTTAAATAAATATTTATATTATGCACGTCTCTGACAAATATTTGAGAGAGTAGCTAGTATAAAATTTATTTAAATTTAAAAGACCAATATCTCTACACCACTGTGACCACTGAACCTGTTGAACCAAAGCGCATTGACTTGGTTATCATCGGGGAGCCCGCTCAACATTGTCAGCGTGTATTGCTTAGTGATCATTTGATTAGACGAGTTGTTCAGGGACCCTGATGCATCTAGTAAGAGATCAACAATTCCTTCAACCAACCAATCGCTAACATTCTTTTTTTTCAATGACGGGGAGAAAAAATTCATTATATCCAATAACAATAACAACCAACGCCGCGGTGGTTTGCTGTTAACAAGTCCCCGCGACGCAGGTAATTGCGTGGTGCATTCGGCCAGCGAGAGCGTTTTAAAGGTTGCACGTCGGGGTAGGTATTCTTTGACGGACTGAGCGTGCGTCAAAGAATACCTACCCCAACAACAACCTTTGAAACGCGCGAGCGAGGCAGACGTCAAACCACCCCACATCCGTCAAGCATCCCGGGATGCGTCCAGCAGTATGAGTTAAGCTTACTGACGAATATTGCACAGTTCGTCACCGGCACAAGTTTGTTGTCGAAGCACCGGATGGGCGATTTGACACTAATGTTGAACAGCAGCACGATGACTTGGTCATCATCAGTGAGCGCGCTCAGCATTGCCAGTGTGAATTGTTTAGTGATCACTTGGTTAGGCGAGTTGTCTATGGAACCTGATGCATCCATAAGTATGAGTTAAGCTTACTAACGAGTACTGCACAGTTCCTCACCGGCACAAGTTTGCTGTCGAAGCACCTGATGGGTGACTTGACGCTGATGTTGAATCGCAGCACGTTGACTTGGTCATCATCAGTGAGTGCGCTCAGCATTGCCAGTGTGAATTGTTCAGTGATCACTTGGTTGGGCGAGTTGTCTATGGAACCTGATGCGTCCATAAGTATGAGTTAAGCTTACTAACGAGTACTGCACAGTTCCTCACCGGCACAAGTTTGTTGTCGAAGCACCTGATGGGTGACTTGACGCTCATGTTGAACCGCAGCACGTTGACTTGGTCATTATCAGTGAGCGCGCTCAGCATTGCGAGTGTGAATTGTTCAGTGATCACTTGGTTGGGCGAGTTGTCTATGGAACCTGATGCGTCCAGTAGTATGAGTGAGGCTTACTGACGAATACTGCACCCACTTCGTCACCGGTACAAATTTGTTGTCGAAGCACCTGATGGGAGACTTGACGCTGATGTTGAACCGCAGCACGTTGACTTGGTCATCATCGGTGAGCGGGCTCAGCATTGCCAGCGTAAATTGCCTAGCGATCACTTGGTTGGATGAGTTGCTTATGGACCCTCACGAGTCCAGTAGTAGTATGAGTTAAGCTTACTAACGAGTACTGCACAGTTCCTCACCGGCACAAGTTTGTAGTCGAAGCACCTGATGGGCGACTTGACGGTCTTGTTGAACCGCAACACGTTGACTTGGTCATCATCGGTGAGCGCGTTCAGCATTGCCAGTGTGAATTGCTCAGCGATCACTTGGTTAGACGAGTTGTCCATAGACCCTGTTGCGTCCAATAGTATGAGCACGTCGCGCGGGGCACCGCTCGCGCTAACGTACCACGGCCGTAGCCGACAGTCGTATACGTCACCCACATCCTCCAGCTGCAACTTGAACATGCTGCTCCATGAAGTGGCTGCAAAATAAAGTTTCTATTTTTGTTACGCGTCTACCTTCACCTTATTAGTTAAAAATATAAGCAGCTTTTTGAGCTTTTGGGGAATTAGCTTCTGATATCTGTGTAGCATTGATACTTTGTTATCACAAGTAACTGCCAGGAGCAATTATTATTTGCTCCTAGCAGAAATGCATTACCCATTTTACGTTTCTTAAAATAACCAAACACAATATATGTACTGTATGTAATTAAGGAGTTTCCTCGTTTCGACTTCCGAAGTACTCAACAGATCTTCACCTAATTAATGTCCAATGAAATAATCCTGTTTTTGAAGCTACTTATTAACACTGTTCAGTATTTGTTCTTTAAAGACATATTTTGAATTTAAAATTTTAGTATAAAATGCACATATATGCACATTACATACCAAACTTTCACATTCTTAATTTATTTCGATTTTGAGATAGACCTCGTAGAAAAAATTGTCTAAAAAAGAATGGTTGCCTGTAAAGTCGGTTTTACGGGCGAAGATTTTACGTGACAACGTCTTTTTCTCGGTAGAATATTTATTGATATGAATATAATTAAATTGCACAATAGGAACAAGGAATTGAATGAAAATAAGAATTGCACAAATTTTAACTATAGAAATATATTTTGTTTACTAAAACATTGTACATGTAAACTTAAACTTAACACGAGAGACTCATCGTAACGTTACCGAGCGTTACACTTTTTCATAAGTGACTCCCAGCCGCAACCTAATTTAAGACGTTGTCACGTCAAAAATTACAACTTTCACGGCTACCCTTTTCTAAGGGGTTAGCTTCCGGCAGGGACAGTTGAGTTTCAACACCGATTTCGGAACGATTATCAAGTTGATCAAAGTGCAAGTAAAGTGTACCTGTGCGATTGTATAAGGATTTATATAGTGTACACTGAATGCATTGTGACTTATATTGAGGGTTTACTGTGTGAACTGTGTAGTGAATAAAGTACTGTCAAATATGAACTGGAATTATAATTTCAAACCCCATCCCGACACGAAACAATATTCATATCCTACTCAACGAGCTCATATATGGGACCCACGATGAAAAATAAAGAAATTAGAATTTTAAAATATAAATTCAGGTTTGGGCAAGCATTCTACATAAAATGGCCAAACTTCAGTCCTGTAACTAATTCCGTTTACAAGTATCAGGCATAGTTAATTAATGTATCATCAGTACTGCCATGTGCAAAGCTTTAATTTTTGCTGCTGTCAGTCCACTGATCGTGGTCCGCCTGTAATCAATTAGTAAAAAAAAAATTGTGTTCGATAGTCTAACCAGACGCAAAAAGAGTTTATTTAACTTAAAAAAGATTGGTACTGTATGAAAGGGTAAATTAACAAATTAATGAAAATAATTTACATATATAAATATATATTTATTCATTTCATATACATTTATTATAGCTAATTGACGAAATATTTTACATTAAACTTTTTACAATAGTCGATTTCAGATGTGCATAAATATATTATTGAAGTTATACTTCTTTAGGCGCGTTGTGAAAAAATGATGAGAGTGAAATTTTTAGATGCGCGCGCATCACTGTAACCCAAAAGTAACAGCATGAAGTTGGCCGCGGGTGCGTTATGAACATCTGTTCGAAAGGTACTTTGAACGATCCACGGAGCTCCATAAGATGATCGCGTTGTCAAAAACAATGTTGGCACGCTCGTCGCCTCTGATCACTGTTTTCATATTTATAATATTTATCCACATGTTTCTAGTTTCAATATAGACACAACGTGTTTTAGTTACTTACAAGTGCTAATTACATATGGACTAATAACTTAAATTCAGTAGTGATTTTAATTAAATATTTTGAATATTTATTTAATTTTTCAAATTAAAACTGTCCTTTTATTATTTTATTGTAATTATTAATTATTTGCATGCAATTAAAAAATATTTTTAATGATGCTAAAGAAGTATAACTTCTCACGCGCGTACATAAGTTACACGCATCCATTTTTTTTTAGTTATTGTACATCTTAGTGTTTTTATTTGTTTTGTTACCTTAAGTCATGGTGGGCGATAACAGAGTCATGTTGTTAAGTTAAATATTTGTAAGGACAAATCTCAGTTTGTCCTTGGTGGGCGATTATGTATACGCCATTTGTGCATTTAAAATTTTAGTTCATATGTATCAAAATAGATGGCGCTATAGTTCGTTGCATCACGCTTGTAAATATGTTTGGAGCTACATATAGACAAAACGTCACCTAACTAATAAAGAAATCTATGGTCTAACAAAATACACTGTAGATTCAATTTAATTCTTTTGCACCTAAGCTCTCGGATTTAAGAGTCATTTTGGCTCAAACAGGATGCGCACCAAAAACGTAACGAGGTCATTCATCGATAGATTTAAGATTTAACTCCTCGCATTTTTCTCATACCGGGCCCCTTATATATGCAAATCGATTCTTAAGGAGTAAACTCCAATTAAAATTACAACTTTTTGATTTTTTTACAAAATTCGCAAGACTTAATTGTATTGTGTACATTCAAATTCAACTGCTCGAAATTTCATGCCATAACGTATGAACTAAGTATCGAAAACAATTCAAACATCATGAAAAAATAACATAACGGACTAACGCCACAGAATATACAGGGTGAAATTGAATGTTTTAATGAAACTTCGTGGGAATGTTGGGTTACGTATATAGAGTATCTCTGAATTTTTTCGGATTTTTTAAAAAATGATTTAAAATAAATTTTTGTTTTTTTTTGTTATATTTTAAGTCCTTTCCTCCTTTTGGGTACTAAATAATTATTCTTTTAAAACATGCATACAGAGTAAGTAAAAAACAAGTAATAAGCACTACTAAAAATGACGTAAAAACAGGCAATGACCGCTCCCGCCGTTGAATACCTTCCTGCCTACCTATCTAGGTATGTGCGGTGCACAGCGCAGTGAGCGAGCGAGCGGAGTCTCAAGCGCGCGTGCGTATCTTTTAAATTTGTGACAAGACAAGATTTGCAAATAATGCCTCGATTAGTTCTTGTTCTGTGCCCTCAATATAAGAATTTGGATATGGTGTGTTGTTATTGCGAGTGTCACGGAATACTCAGCAGAGCCACAAGGCTTTACGAAAGTAGGTTTGGTGATTTATTGGGAAGTTATAGAGAAAAAAATTAATAGGTACATCGGTCTCGTAAGTACTTTTGAATACCTGGTAATAAATTTCATTCTGACCCAAGTATTGAACTGCAATAAGTATTTCTTTTTGTTAAACTTTTGCCTATTTCCAATCGTGACAAAATTATTATTAACTTTTTAAGTTTTTCTCTGCTTAAGAGAAGATGACATTTGTGCTTATTATTTCAATTTCAATAAAGGCATTTAAGACGATTTTATTGTATTGTGTGGAATCAAACGAGTCAGCTGAGCTCTGTGTACGTACCTACTCACTCAACGGCTGGCGGGCGCGGTCGGTCGTTGACCCGCGGTGGAATTTTACTGTTTTTCCGTTTTTTAGAAGTGCTTATTTATTAGTTGTTTTTCACTGGATATGTAAGCATGTTTGTTTAATATGAATAACTACTGAAAAGGAGGAAAGGACAAAAAAATACACAAATTATAAATAAATACATGAAAAAAAATACTTCAAAAAATCCGAAAAAAATCAGGCATACTCTATACTCGTAACCCAACAATCTCACGAAGTTTCATTAAAACATTCAATTTCACCCTATATACACTACGCTAACGCTACAATATTTTTTTTCTATAAATGTCCAATAAATAGTTAAATGTAGTCAACACATAAACAGTTTTATATCTTGTAGGAATAACGATTTGTCGAATACGTGTGACTTCGTAGCAGTGTTCTGTCGGACTACTGACCAGTCGAATATGTGATTTGTCGAAGAAGTGTGCTTTCGAATAACTGTATGATCAAAATATCGTCTAGTCGTGTGTGTTGAAATTTAGTATAATACTCCCTAAAAACAAACTGAAAACTGTCTTACCTGGATACGTTCGTAGAAATCCTTTAGCACTGCAGAAGTATTGAAAATCCATAGACGCATCTTGTGCATAATTTTCCTTGAACGTCGACAATAGCGCTTCCGACCAATACAAATGCTTGACCACTTCTGGGGCTGTAAATAAGGGTTTCTATATAAGAATACACCAGTGTAATCAAAGAATTAAGCCCTTTCTAATAAAAAAAGAATTATCCAAATCAGACTACTCTGTAAAAAGTTATGCGTTATCTATTCATAAATATACGATTCGACTTGACAAACTCCTCAGTTTTTTTCGTCGATTGAAAAATAGGTATTTATGATGTATTTATGGTATTTATAGTATTTGTGGTTATTACAAACGAGTAGATGAATGTAAGCCAGAAACGAAGTCGAGGGTTTACCGTAGTCACGAGTTTGTAAGTCCCAATTCTGCACTAAGGTCATACAACGTTTTTCAACACATTTGCGAGAAAACAGTATAATTTTTAAATAATGAAGCAAACTTTTTCTAATAAGAAAATGGCACGCCTTTTACAAGTAGCGCCACTTACTTCGAGTACCTACGCCTGTATTCGAGTAGTTTTCGTTTTGGTTACCCGAAACCGTCTTCCAGCCTGTATTCCAGTGTAAATATTGCTTCGGGTTTTTAATAATTTTAATAATGTCTTTCGTGCACCCGAATACGAGCTAATGAGCAAGTATAATCGCGCCATTTTAGTGTTAGATGTTGAAACGATATACAAAAAACCGGCCAAGTGCGTGTAGTGCCACGCGCAGTATAGGGTTCCGTAGTTGCTTGTCATCACCATTATATATTTTGGAAAGGGTCTATATTACTTCATAACTTTTAGTGTTTTCTTTTAAGAAATTTTTATTCGGTCAGAAATTTTGTAATACATAAGTTGAGCGACTATTACTCTTAAACTTGTTAGTTTAGTTAATCTATTTTAATCGTCATAATTTTGCTTCAAAGTTCATGAAAAGCATTATTATCATGAATTATTCCAGGTATTTCGAGCCAATAGTATATCTTTTAGAGGGGGGGGGTATAGTCTTATGAACCTCTAAACAATTTTAAAGGACCTTATTCAACGAGTATCGTTGAATAAAATCCTTTAAAACACGAATAAAAACACATAGACGATGAAATAATAAAATCATCTCTATGTTATATGTAGGGGAAATATCATTTATTTATTTTTTAACTTTTAATATACCATTTTGTTGGCATGATTGATAAACATATCTCCACAAATATACAGCTCTCAGGTGCTAACAGTCTCCAAGCAAAACCGGGGACGGACAGACAGACGGATATGACGAAACTATAAGGGTTCCACAAGATGGAATTTGATGCGCTTCGGCACAGATGATCATGACTATAATACCTTTCAAACAAATCTAGTTTAAACCGTGGCGGACGAGGATGCAGCGCACATACATTTTTGCCTAATGTCCTTAGCGAGGCTAGTTGATCCGAGAAGTTGACTGTCTAAAGAGGAGATGCAACGAGAGGCCGGACTGAAAGGCCCCGTACGTTCGTTCGTTGTTCTGTCATTCGTTTTGTCGATGATGTAGTTCTTATGGCTTTGACCTTGAAAGATCATAACACGATGCTCAAAGACCTCAGTAGTGCTTCCCAAAGAGTGGGTCTTAAGATTAACATGGATAAGACGAAAATAATGTCGAATGCCCATGTAGTACCCGCTCCAGTTTAAATTGGGAACACTACACTCAAAGTTGTCGACTGTTACGTTTACCTAGGACAGACAGTCCAGTTAGGTAAGTCCAATTCGGAGGAAGAGATCTCTCGTCGTATCTATCTCGGATGAGCAGCTTTCGGGAAGCTGCGGAAAATCTTCGCATTCAAATTACCTCAGTGTATCAGGTTGAATGTCTTTGACCAGGAGCTCTATTTTTGAATCACTCGTCTTGCGTCGAACGCTCGATTTCTACTAAATTTGATTCGACATAATTAATTCCGTATTTTTGAATCGCTCGAGTGCAACGAATAGGTGAGACCACTCGCTGCATGTCGAATGGTGGAGGCGAATGATAGAATAATTGTCAAATTTTTTGCGCTTTTAGACGACGATGATCTATTATTGTCATGCTTTTTTTGTTCGGTTTTCATTGCAGTAATTACCGGTTTTTATTATTTCTGCGTGAAATGAGTAAAATTTTACATTTCGTATTAAACAGGTAACACCGGTGACGAATGTTTCAAAAATACAGAAAATCAGTATTATGCGACTTGAAAGTCGAAAGGTGACTTATGTCGCATTCGATGATACTATGTCAGGCGAGTGATTCAAAAATAGAGCTCCAGTGTGTGTTGCCAGTGATGACCTAAGCGCGACGTCCTTTACTGCGGGTCTCATAAGAAGGCTCAAGGTCACACAGCGAGCAATGGACACAGCGATGCTCAGTATTTCTCTATGCGATATTAGAATCAACCAATATCGTTCGAAGGATTGCTCTGCTGAAGTGGCAGTGTGCGGGACACGTAGCAAGATGAAACGATGGCCGTTGGGGCGGAATGGTTCTTGAAGGCGACCACGCACCGGACGACGCTTTGTGGCTAGGCTCCCTACGAGGTGGAAGGCGCGAGTGGTGCAAGACTGATTGGTGTGGTGATCCTTGGGGAGGCCTACGCCCAGCAGTGGACGTCGTACGCCTGACATGATGAATGACATAATAATAAGACTACTCATTTTGTCCGTATTGATATGATAACAGACAATTGGGTTTTACCCAGGATTGAAAATCAGTACTTAGCTCATGCTGTATCATATGACGTTGTGATGATATTTCATAATTTTCATTATTATTCATCCACAGTAATTTTACAGTTTAGAGGTCTTTAAATAGCTGTGGGAATGTGGCTTTCCGGTTACTTCGTGTCATCGATGAAGCATTGAGGAGCTCGATGGTGCAGGTGGTTAACGCATTCGGCCTGCGATCTTGAAAGTCAAGAACTTTCGTAATGGTAGACCATTGGATGGGTGACCAAAAACTTATTATCTCGAGCTTCTCCGTGCTTCGGAAGGCACATTAAGTCATCGGTCGTGGCTGCATTTGCAGTTGTTAGCACTAACCCACACTGGAGATGCGTGGTGGGTCACGGCCCAATCTCTTTATTCATCCACAGGCAAGACCAGTGCCTGTGATAATGATGATGACTTACCGCAGTTAAAAATTTCTTCGGAGAAATGTACGCTGGAGGTGTCCAGTGAGATATCGCCGTCGAAGTGCTCGCTGCGCGCCACCGGCACCCGCCTTAGACTCCTGCACGTCTCGGGCAAGTCCCATTCGTCCTCCGGTGATAATTTTTTCTTCAACTTGTCTATGTCCTGTCGAAAACAGCAACAACAAGGGCTTATACAATTTCACACAAGAAGCACAATCCTGACAGGGAGGACTCCCACATACCTTCTTCTCGCTCCGCCAGTGGTTGAAGGATGCGTAAGGCATTTTCCATACAAAAAAAGGGTCTGTGATACTAGGTGTTACAAAACGTGAAAAATGACAATATTTATGGTTAGGGACAGCAGCTAAGATAGAAAATAAGATAACCACACTATAAATAAAACTAGTTTTTAAGGCTGCGAAACGTCAATAAATAATAAAGTTTCGTGCATGAACCCTTAAAAACTAGTTTTATTTAATGAGTGATGTGCGTGAAAACCTAAGAAACAAATAACCACACTATAGTCGAAGGTGTAGTCATCAGGCGACTAGATATAGATATCCAAGCTCACCGCTGTCTTCACATTGGAGAACCTGGCTAGGAAACTCCTTCCTCTGCACCGATTGCTAACACTTACCACAGTGTAGTCGAAGGTGCAGTCATCAGGCGGCTGGATATCGCTGCTCAGCGCCGTCTTCACATCGGAGAAACTGGCTAGGATACTCCTCCCTCTGCACGGATTGCTTACTTACTTACTAACCAGAAAGTAGTTGAAGGTGTACTCGTCAGGCGACTTAATATCCTTGCTTGCCGCCGTCTTACCATCAGAGACACTGGCACCACTTGATAACACGAACACTAACCACGCTGAAGACGAAGGGTTATCCGTCAGGCAGCTGGATATCCTTGGTGTAGTGGCTCCCAGCGCGTCTCATGATTACCACCGCTGTCTTGGCTCTCCGCACGATCATCTTCTCCAGGTCGTTTGCCATCTGCTCGAAGACAACACTAACCACACTATAGTCGAAGCTGTAGACATCAGGCGACTGAATATACTTGCTATAGAGGCTCTCAGCGCACCTCATGATTGCCTCTGCTGCCTTGGCCCACCGCACGAGCATCTCCTCCAAGTTGTTCGCCATCTGCTCAACGATGGTGGAACCGTTTCGCACGGCCGGCCGCCTTCATGTCGATGAAACTGATACCACTTGCTAACAATGATACTCACCACACTATAGTCGAAAGTGTAGTCATCAGGCGGCTGGATGTCCTTGCTGTAGAGGCTCTCAGCGCGCTTCATGATGGCCTCCGATGCCTTGACCCTCCGCAGGAGCATCTCCTCTAATTCGTTCGCCATTTGCTCAACGATGGCAGAACCGTTTCGCACTGCGGTCTTCATGTCAGAGAAACTGGCTAGAAACTCCTTCCTCGGCACCACTTGCTCCTCGGTTTTCAATAATACATCCGATATTTCCTTTGCCCATTGCTGAACTCTGTGTAGCAATAAATCGTATTTCAAGTTTTTCTAATTTAATAGCATAGAGCGAAAATGTTTAGCACCACCCCGACCACACGAAAGGGAAATTTGCCCGTTGTCGGTACATTGCATTTTCTCTCGGTTAAACATTTTAATACTAGCGGACCATACAGACGGACTGCCTGTTAAAATATAGATTAAATTCATAAAGAATTATGGTATGTTATGGAAAATGTGCATCTTTAACTTAGTAACATGACTGCAGCGCTTTTCTCGAATTTTCTAATTGTCAGTGCTAAATTTTTATCCTACAAAAACAACTTCTACGAAGTTGTAGAATAAAATCTTGAAATAAAGTCATTAAGTTGTTTTATAATGTATGACCAAGGGAAATAGGTTTTCATTATTATATTAAAAAGATCTACGTCTATAGATTACTTTTTTCTACTGACCTAAAAAGGATTTCAAATCATTGGAGCTACATTTTATATTGTTGTTACGCAAGAGTGTAACTAAGTCAAAGAAGAGAATTCTGACATTTGTTGGACCATTTAGATGATAACTTTCTTTATTTTAATTAGTTTTCTTACGAGACAGTTATGTATCAATTTGTTGAAGATCTGATCATGAGTATATTTGGAGATTGTCAAACGCCTCAAACGCATATGACATAGGTATATAAGAACGAATGCTGGCTAGGCCAGCCCCTCTATTACATAATTATTTAACATTATCCTAACATAAAATTTCGAATTAATTATGCGTTTGCAAGTCAATCATAGTGTTTTTAAATAATATGAAGTTGAAGTTGTTACAATGGTTTCCAAAAACAAAACAAATTTTATAATAACCGGTTCTATGTGGACTATAACTTAAATAAAAAAGATTCTTTACTACATGTTTATCAAGACTTAACATACTTACGCGTCAGGCTGTATTGTTTTAATGATAACTTTTTTCTTTATGAATACGTGTGGGACGTTCAAAATTGGTTTCTGAGGTGGTCGTGGCTTCGTGTCCGGTTTGTGCTCCTCCGTTTTCTTCGGCTGACTCATCACGGTTTTATTAACTGTTACATTCTTTGGTTTCACACAATTAGTGTAATATATAAGGTGTATTATTAATAATAATGTGATTTTCATATTTCGCACTTTATAACAAGGTAGATACAATTTATAACAACATACATTATTTATTTATTGAAAAAAGTTATACGAAGATGTTACTTTGTGTAATTATTTTAAATCTAGTAAAATATTTTCGTTTCATTTGGAAACTACCACTTTGTCTTTTTTGATTCACTGTAGTTTTTTTACGCTATCCTTTTATTTTATAGCGATAGCTTTTGTTTCGTTGAAAGTAGTGATGCTACTGATGTGTCTGTAAGTTTTCAGGGCGGGCGGGCTTGTGGTAGTGAGCAGGCTCCGCTCGGCTCCCGCCAGGCCGGCGCCGCGTCGCCGTCTCCGGCCCTCGAACCGACCTATATAATATTTACCCATACCTATATCAGACTTACACAGCACGACGATTTATATACAATATATCAGAATTCAGAATACGAATGTGGGAACTAACATCATTTTAATGATATTGTTATATGCTGCTTATAGTAAGTTGTAGAGCTAACTACGGGGAAAACTTTTGGAATCGTGTATGTGTATTCTTAAGTTAATTTCCCAAATTATTGTCTTATTCAAATACAAGCTAATATATCGATTTATACTATAGGCTACTAGATAATAGGTAGCGATGATGATGATGTGATTATTGATACAACCAGTCACGATAGAACTAGAGAGGTAGAACCAAAACACAGTTAGCCACATATTTTTTTTAGATAAGTCATTTAAAACACTTCGGCGTTATAAATAATTCTAAATCTATAAATTTTCGACCTAGTATGGAAGAAATCCTTATTCTTCCTGATTACTACCGGACTGAAACACAGAACACTACTGTGTTATAGTGTAGTGTTAGTGATACTCTCTTATTCGAGCCGTTACTAGGTGTTGGTCTTTTTTTCTAAATAAATTATCATTTAATTTAACACTAAGTACGAATTACTTGCAGCTTACCGATGATATGCCGCTATGATAAAGTAGGAGTTTATCATTCTCAGTATAAAATAGTACAGAAAGTTAAACTTCAGTTTAACTTAGTTAGTCCAGAATCCTCTGTTTATTCAGGAAAATGTTACGGTATTTTTAAAGCAGTTGAATATGTCAAAATAATGAAACTTAAATCTGCTGTAATATTTTCAGGTTCAAAATGTTCCTTACAATCACTAGAAAAGTTCCCATTTTAAAACTGAAAAATAATATCAAAAACGGTCAGCTTATAGAATTTGCGTGGATTGCTGCCCATATCGGCATAGCTGGAAATGAACTAGCTGACAGTCTGGCAAGAGATGCTGTATCATGTGGCGATGTTTTTCCGTTTCAGAACTATTGTTTAGATTTATTAGCTATTCCTAAATCTGTATTGCGTGAAGGATGGGAACAAATGTGGAAATATAGTAAACTAGCAAAAGGTAATTTCTTCTGTTTCCTCAATTTTTACTTGAAATTGGCTAAACACACAAACCGTGTATGCCATAAAAAAAGTAAATGAAGAAGAGAAAGTATGAAAATATTAAATAAAACGACGAAAATAAAGCGACGACCTCCGTAGCCGAGTGGTTTGTACGCCGGGTTTCAAGGTGTAACCTACTCAAGAGGTCCCGGATTGGAATCCCGGTGGGGACAGATGTTCGTGTGATGAGTACGAGCATTTGTACTGCAGTCATGGATGTTTACATGTATTTCTATATAAATATACTTATCAGTATATGTAATCTATCCCGTTACCCTAGTATCCCATAACACAAGCCTACAGTGCTTACTTTCGGGCTAGGCTAATTGATAAGTGTTGTTTTTATTTTAATTTAAACATATTTTTATGCCCTCTATGAAAAGTATTAAATTAGTGTTATTTCAGTGATATACAAATTTTGTACATTTGTTTGACTTCATTAATAATAATAAAAAGTTCTAAATTCGCATGAGTCTTGTTGGGGCAGTATGCTTCTCATAGAATCGTTAATAGCAATCAAAGTATTTATGTAATTTTTTTTTCACTACTATCAATTTATGCAAATTTAGTATTTTTTTTTCTATGTCATATTCTTTTTATATGACTAGGTCTTGCCCTCCCTAGCAAGACCTATTACACTAAAGAAGGCAAAAAAAAAACCCGACCAAGTGCGAGTCGGACTCACGCACGAAATATTCCTTACCATTATCTATTTTACTTTTGACATTTTATTATAATATCGAGCCAAAACTACAGGCATACTACAAACTCCTTAAAGGTTTTCCTGTAATCTACAAGCAAAGACATATACAGCAAAAGTTAAAAATAGAATAAAATAAATCTTTAAGGGGCTCCCATACAACAAACGTGATTTTTTTGCTACATTTTTGCTCTAATGTTGTATAATAGTGGTACGGAACCATTTGTGCGCGAGTCTGACTCGCACTTGACAGATTTTTTTTCATTACAAACAAAAAATAAGTAAACAATAATATTTTTGCACATATTTTATTGACATGATCACAAAAAATAGTGGATAGGATATTTACAATTTTGAGTTGATACGATTCTGTTTATATAAACGTATATAACGGTTTTTATTATCTTCACCGATAGCCATCGGTCAACAGTTTTTTAGATAACGGGTTGCATACAAAATCAAAACTAAAACAGTCCGCGTATGTTTAAACTTATGCAGTTACATTCGATTCCCAATGAACAAAGAATAATGTTTTAAAACAGTTGAAGTTGAACCTAATAACAACTACATATCTCTAACTAACAATGGAATAAGGTTATAAATAACAAAATGTAATTTCGCACATACGACCTTTTTCTTATTCTTTCCTTTAAAACTAACTCTTGTTCCTTTTATAAACTATATCTGTTTCTAGGAAAAAACGATGAGGGTGAAAAAGGAAAATGTGGAAACAACCTTATGATCCGCAAAATAAAATATTTTTACCCGTCATTGGCCAGCTAGTTACTTCGTTTTGTATTAACAAGTGAGGCTATATGTACCCAGGCGGATTTTACGCGCTGACCTGTTATCTAAGAATTGTTGATCGAAACCGATAGCTTAAGAACATTACACAAATTTAACAGCTTGTCGTGCTGCTAAATGCTTATTTAATGAAGAGTAAGTCTTAGAGTTAACTCGACTTCCACAATCGACGCAATGCGACCAATCGCATTTGTCATTGTATGGATTGAATAGAAGAGATGCAGGACAATCGAATGCTACAGGTTTTCCATGATCACATTTATAGAATCTATTGCAATTTTCATGAGCAATTAAGACACCCTCGGAACTCTTAGACGCACATATAGCTGACGCTCGGCGGGGGTCGTCATTTCCTGCGCCTCCACTTGATTCAGCACAACGGAGTTCATTATTTTCGTTTTCATTACTTTCATTGCTATTTTCGTCACCATTGCTGTCATTACCATCACCAGGGATCACGCGGTTACCACATTGAACCTGGTCAGGCCAGTCGCATTCATTTTTGTATGGGTTGTAAAGGAGATCTCCCGGGCAGCTTAAGACAACAGGCTTTCCACCATTGCAAACATAGAACTGGTTGCAGTTTTCGTGTGCGACTAAAGTACCCTCTGAGCCATCAGCTGCGCAAATAGCGGGTGCCTCTTCCGGGTTGCAATTACAAGTTCCATTGTCATCACCCTCACTGCCACCATCTCCATTTTCTCCATCATCAGCGATTCCATTATCGCCACCATCATTACCGTTGTCGTCACAATCACCATCAGGGATCACGCGGTCTCCACATTCCACATTTTCTGGCCAGTCGCATACGTTTTTGTAAGGATTGAATAGGAGATTTCCTGGGCAACTCAGCGCAACGTTCTTTCCACCGTTGCAAACGTAGAACTGGTTGCAGTTTTCATGAGCTACTAGGGTGTTTTCGGAGCCATCAGCTGCACAGATAGCGGGTGCTTCTCCTGGATTGCAATTGCAGGAGCCACTTCCATTGTCACCACCTCCATTGCCACCATTTCCGTTATCGCCACCGTCACTGCCATTGTCTCCGCTGCCGTTACCGCCGTTGCCGCTGTCTCCATTATCGCCACCACCATTGCCGTTGTCGTCACAATCACCATCAGGGATCACGCGGTCTCCACATTCCACATTTTCTGGCCAGTCGCATACATTTTTGTAAGGATTAAATAGGAGATTTCCTGGGCAACTCAGGGCAACGTTCTTTCCACCGTTGCAAATGTAGAACTGGTTGCAGTTTTCATGAGCTACTAGGGTGTTTTCGGAGCCATCAGCTGCACAGATAGCGGGTGCTTCTCCTGGATTGCAATTGCAGGAGCCACTTCCATTGTCACCACCTCCATTGCCACCATTTCCGTTATCGCCACCGTCACTGCCATTGTCTCCGCTGCCGTTACCGCCGTTGCCGCTGTCTCCATTATCGCCACCACTATTGCCGTTGTCGTCACAATCATCATCAGGGATCACGCGGTCTCCACATTCCACATTTTCTGGCCAATCACATACGTTTTTGTAAGGATTGAATAGGAGATTTCCTGGGCAACTCAGGGCAACGTTCTTTCCACCGTTGCAAATGTAGAACTGGTTGCAGTTTTCATGAGCTACTAGGGTGTCTTCGGAGCCATCAGCTGCACAGATAGCCGGTGCTTCTCCCGGATTGCAATTGCAGGAGCCACTTCCGTTGTCACCACCCCCATTGCCACTATTTCCGTTATCGCCACCCTCATTACCACCGTCCCCACTACCGTTACCGCCATTGCCACTGTCTCCATTATCGCCACCACTATTGCCGTTGTCGTCACAATCACCATCAGGGATCACGCGGTCTCCACATTCCACATTTTCTGGCCAGTCACATACGTTTTTGTAAGGATTGAATAGGAGATTTCCTGGGCAACTCAGGGCAACGTTCTTTCCACCGTTGCAAATGTAGAACTGGTTGCAGTTTTCATGAGCTACTAGGGTGTC